GCCGTCTTGTCCTGCACCACCTCGAGGAAAAACCAACTTCGACGCCTCCCTTGGAGTTGGCCCTGTTGAAATGGTTGGTTGACTTATTAAGGGAAACCGGAAAAGGAAGACCACCATAAGTTGTGGAATATTTAGTTGTTTGCTGATGTAGTTATGCGTTTAGCTGTTCTTGTTGATTTACATCTTTTGTTTTTTGGGGGGAGGGGGAAGGGGTCAAATCCTGGAAAAGACCCACGCAAATGATTAGTCACCCTGGCGTGTTTTGGTGGGGTCAACTATTGCTACCAACCATATCCCCTTGAACCATCGCGATCTGCATCCAACCGTCAAAATGAGTGAGATCTGTTTGAAATGCCCGAGCCATGTGTCTCCCTTACAACTCATACCAAAAACATGTATACCGTCTTTGGAAGTGGACAGGGGACTTCCCCAAAAGGAAAGTAGTCTTCCAGAACCATCGTGTCAGCTTTTATGGTTGTTGGGAGGGTAAAGGAACGTGTGATGTTCAAACCACTCAAAATGGGAAGCACAAGCACCGATTGCTGGGACGAGTTGGGGGCCCTGAAGCTGATCTTAGTTGAAGATTCGCATGTGGACTCTTGCCGAAACTTCCTGGAGACGCGTCTGCTCCCCTGCTAAAAGTTGCACTTTTAGTGGTTTAATGGAAAACCCATCAGTTGGCAAAAAGTTAAAGCCCTAACATCCACGCAAAATGCAACAAAGTGAACACTTGCATCATACTGCATAGAAATCCAATCCATTAGATGAAATGATTCCTTAGCGCCGATGAGCCTGGAACGTGCCACCTCCTGAATGGTTGGCTTCCTCTTGGCGTGTTTCTTGGTCTCCAAAACTCCGCACGTCAAATGCAAAATCCCTTCCGTGGGGTGGTGCTACTGCACAAGCGTTTTGTTGCATCAGGCTATCCTCAGGGTTCCATATGTGGTGTACCCCCCAAATTCAAATCTATTTGGCTTGGAGACCCCAGTGAAAACCTGAACACCTGGGGTTGTCTCCAAATGGTCTACAAATTCTACATGTCCAAAACCTGAAATATGGGATCCCCAAGTAAAGGATCTTTACCATGGTGAGCTCGTTTTGCCCCCCAGGTGAGCTCGCCATAAACTATGCAGAAATCATACTGCCCCGCCCCACCAAACAACAACAACAACAACAACAACAACAACAACAACAACAACAACAACAACAACAACAACAACAACAACAACAACAACAACAACAACAACAACAACAACAACAACAACAACAACAACAACAACAACAACAACAACAACAACAACAACAACAACAACAACAACAACAACAACAACAACAACAACAACAACAACAACAACAACAACAACAACAACAACAACAACAACAACAACAACAACAACAACAACAACAACAACAACAACAACAACAACAACAACAACAACAACAACAACAACAACAACAACAACAACAACAACAACAACAACAACAACAACAACAACAACAACAACAACAACAACAACAACAACAACAACAACAACAACAACAACAACAACAACAACAAAACGCTCCTCAGCCTGAAATGAGTGCGTATCTTTCAAGTTCGTACCCCTTTGTTTGTGGATTTAACGGGACACCCCATCTGGGGGCATCCAAATTCTTAGCACAGACTCACCCAAATGATTAGTAACCCTAGAGGGAGTGTTTTTGTGGAGTCAACTATGGTGTCCAACTTTTTGGGTCAAAATCCTGAATTTGAAAAACGACACGCCCTTATTTGGTGTCCTGGAAAGGAACAAAACAACCTTGTGGAGGGTCCAGCCGTTTAAGGAGAAATCCCCTATTCTGCACGGTGTGGCTTGGTAATGTCAGCCTCGCATTCATCTGAAACAGAATAGTCAGCGGTGGTTCCCTAGTAGGGAAATGAGACAAATTTCGGAGATGTCTCTCACTAATTAATGTTGACCCCCGATTAACAAACCCCTGGTTTATGAATGCGGGTTGTCTCCTTTTCGTGGAGTCCGAAGTCAACATCTTTGTTGCTGTTTACCGACCCCCTCTGCAAAAAGTGAAATAACTTTGCGCGTGCAAAGTGTCAACCAAAAAGTTGTCCAGTCCAACGATCCGCTACCAACTCGCCATAACCTTAGGCACGAAAAAGGGCCGGTGACTGAGCCCCATGGAAATGGAGCCCTTGACATCCCCTACCAAATCGTCATAAGGGGTACTGACAAACATGGATTTTGGGACCCGGTGCCGCCGATACGTGCCGCCGTTTAGAGGGGAGCCAAAAAAGCGGGCCCCTACTTTTGATACACCTTCCAAAAAATGACTTTCACCACATGAGAAGATCTACCTATGGTTATTTTGCGGCCCTAAATGGAATATCGCTCAACCCCCAAATAGTTGCTTTACATAAATCAAACCGTGTTTGTCCAACAAACAAAATCGGGGTCAAAAACAAGGTGGGTGTCTTGTGGTGTCCATTGAAAGAAGAAAAAAAGAAGCCATATTCAACGCCCTTCTCCCGGCGAGCGATTTCGTCCACGCCTGGGCCGCCTCGGCGGCCTGGTCCTAGCGAGCGGTGTTCGTGAAATTTGGTGCGGCCACAGGAGTCACAATCAAAACCTGGGTAGATGAAGAATAGTAAGGGGCAGTCCCAGCCGGAAATAGTTGCGGCCGCCTTTTCAACTCCTTACAGGTTCTGGGTTCAACAGTGTTGTACCAGACATCTTTTTTCCGGGCCCGGGGGCAAGCGAAACCCCAAGCAAACGAGCATGGAAATGTTGGGCATGGGGAGAGTGGACAAACCAGGCGATATGGTTGCCAGAAAATGCTTTCTTGTGTAGTTGCCAAGGAACTCCTGCTTGATTTGTTTCATCGGATGTGTAGTGGGTTGGGGGGGGGGGCCTTCATTTGGATATGTTCCGGGCAACCGGGGGGGGTTGTTTTCATTTGGATGTGTTCCAGCATTTGGGTCCAAACCTATGGAGGTGTCCTTGCCTGCCCTTCAAGAAGGGTTTCGCTTTACCCATCCTGTTGGACCATGTTGTAAACCATGCACTTCAAGCAACCTCATGTTCGTGTCCCAACAAAGGAAAGCCAATGGACCATGGTCCATTTGTTTCAACACACGAGTCCTGTCACTATACTATCTGCCCCAATCCAGGTGCAGAACAAGGGCGGATATCCGCATCCATCTATGGCTTGGAGATCTACCCATGATTTGATTGTCACATGCTCATGTTTTTGAGGGTTCCCCGTTTTTTCATTGGTTTTGGAGGGCAAGCCATTTCAGCAGAGCCGAAACCCATAGAGGGAGACACTTGTGTGGAGTCAACTATGGTTTCCATCATGTATTTCAATTAATGGACCCAAAAAACGACCAACCAAAATCCTTCTTTATTTAAGAGACTATATCACCAACCCTTTGGGGTCCAAAATGCCAAAAAACAAACTCTAGACCCACAGCCGCTTCTTTCCACCCCTTTCGACCCACTGCCTCTCGCTTCCGTTTCACGGGCGAAGAAGCGAAACGGAAAACGTCCTTCTGACCTCATTATTCTACCATGATCAAAGTCACCCCCGTTCAGTGGTGGGTTCAAGGCAAACAACCGATTCCATTTACTGACTTTGACAACCCCCAGAAACCGTCAACACAATGACCCCAGTTCTCGCGGTCCTTCGCCAATCCAGAGTCCTGCCGCGCTTTGGCTGCCTCCGTCTGCGCCGTCTCCGCCGCGGATTCTCGGCAGAGGGATCGAGGAGGGAGAGATTTCGGCGGCGCTGACGCGGTGGATGTCTTCTTCGGCGGAGGCCGAGGTCTTTGGCCAAAACTCGGAGCCCAAAAAGTGGAGGTCTGGCGTCTTTCGGTGTCCCGAACCAGCCAAAGAAGTGAGCCTCCCACTGGTTGGTGCGGTCAAATCGGTTTGGAGGTGAGGTTCCGTGCGGGGGGATTTCTCTAGAAGGGGCCCGCCCATCGTGCCTCCTTGTGTCCTTCAGTTGGTGATGTATGTTGAAGAAACATCACCCCATCTGCCACCGTACTCATGTCTTTCCTTGCCCTTTTGTAGCTATGGCCGATGCCGAGAACATGACCTTCCAGGTGCTTCGGGACCTGCGTGAGAGTATGATGTGTAGAAACTGATCTTCCAGTGTGTTTGCTGGGCTGATCCAGGGGAAACACTGTCTCGGGATTGCTTTGTTTTAGACTCCTGTAGTTTTTGGTTTAGCTCACTGCGCATCTGTGAGCGGACAAAAGGCACAGCAAGAACTGAAAATGCAGAATTGTGCGGATCAGAACATACCGCAATTTGCACAATAGTCAAAAATCATGCGAATCTGCACTGTCACCGTCACCTGTTCTGTAGGGCTAGAGACAGTATGTGTGAGTGTGGGCACTTATTGTGTAGTGGGTAGTTTTCTTTGCATGTAAGTCTCCGTATATTGTTTGCACTGGCTTTGTCTATGCAGCATGCTTGACTACATTGTAGCATATCATTGTTTATCGTAGCACTCTACTTGGGAGATAGTGGCAAAGCATGTGTTTAATTTAGATGGCTTATTGTTAGATCATGTATCATTGTATGTGTTTAATCATGCCAGGGTAGCAATAACCATTTTGGCTACATTGTTGCCTTTACACTAAATCTAGAACTAGTTTAACATTATAATAGTGTTTGTGACTTGTGTTTTGTTGCGTTTGTGACATGGCACCCAAAACCCCTGGTTGAAACCTCAGATTCTTGGTTTGGGAATCGGACCTTCTTGCTTGGGGCTTTTGGGCGTGTGCCTTCTCTTCATTGGCTTTTGGGACAACCGCGGTGGCCATCGGCTGGAAACTTCGGGGTTGAATCCGACGCAAAACGGTTTGCTCTAACTCACCGAAGTAGAACCGGGTCCCTCACTGAAAGAAAATCCGGAGAAGAAGAAAAACGATGGGCTCCGAACCACCTGACAAAAGTCACCGACCTGCAAAAGCTCTGAGGTCCAAACTCTGCGCTTGGCACTTGTTCTCCGCCTCCCTGAAGGCCGCGTCCGCCACCTCTGCTTCCTGCCACACCGAAGGCCGCAGGGCCGCAGGGCCGCATGGGAGAGAAGACCGGGAGGGGGAGGGGGGGTTGGGAAGTTGGGGGGGGGGGGGGGGGGGGGGGGGGGGGGGGGTTGGGGGTTGGGGGTTGGGGGGTTGGGGGGTTGGGGAGTTGGGGGTTGGGGGGTTGGAGGGTTGGGGTTGGGGAGTTGGGGGTTGGGGGGTTGGGGGTTGGGGGTTGGGGTTGGGGAGTTGGGGGGTTTGGTTGGGGGGTTGGGGGGTTGGGGGGTTGGGGGGGTTGGGGGGGTTGGGGGGTTGGGGGGTTGGGGGGTTGGGGGGTTGGGGCGTTGGGGGGTTGGGGGGTTGGGGGTTGGGGGGTTGGGGGGTTGGGGGGTTGGCGGGTCGGCGGGTTGGGGGGTTGGGGGGTTGGCGGGTTGGGGGGTTGGGGGGTTGGGAAGTTGGGGGGTTGGGAAGTTGGGGGGTTGGGAGTTGGGTTGGGGGGGGTTGGGAAGTTGGGGGGTTGGGGGGTTGGGGGGTTAGGGGAGGGGAGGGGAGGAGGTCGTTTCCCTTTCAATCATTCTCCCATTAGACTTGGCTGTCCTCAGATCCCCTGCTAATAGTGACTAACTTAGGAGCTAAACACGGAATCCCAACCGCTAAACCACCCTTTCAACGCAACAAAAAACCTAAAAAGCTATAGAAAAGACTCTGAAAACGCTTAACAAAAGGAAAAGAACTAAAAAGCGCTAAGCCCGAAACCAACTAAAAAGATCCAAAAACCCCAAGGGACCGGATGGCCTTCGGATCCCCCGTCGTTCGACCCTTGGGTCCCCTGCCTGCAGGGCCGCCTGCGCGATGTTGCCCTGCGCCGCCGTCTCGGAGGCCAACCTCGGGTGGAATTCTTTGCTCGGCGGATGGGGCGACGGTGGCTGAGAGGTTTGGAGGTTCCTGAGCGTTCCTCAGGTTTGGTTGGGTTCCTGAGCGTTCTTTAGGGTTCCTGGTGTGCATTCCTTGGTGTTCTTTAGGGTTCCTGACCACCCCTTTTGGGGATTCCCTGATGGGTGTGTATTTTTCCTTTTTCTGGGGGCACCCTCTTCAGGATCAGAACGTTGTATGTCAGAAAAAAGTCCCAATGTGGTCAACAGGTACTGGAAAACGGCTTTTTGTTGTTGAGGGTGTTCCATATTGATCCATGCGCATGGGCACAAAGAAGAAGTCCCCATGTGGTCAACTTTTGGTGTCCATCTTTCTGCCAGACCCTGGAACGGGTGTTGAATGCTGAACTTGGAGGTAGAACCTACGAGCTCAGGGCCTGAAAAAAAAAGCATCAGATTTCTGTGAGCCCCGATTCATGTCCACCAACCACGGCAAAAGGTGCCAACTCAAAAAATGAAGAAGACATACGAAGCGTTGTTCAGAGTTCCACCCAGGCGCTTCTCCACGTTCTCCTTCTGCTTGGTCCAGGCCTTCCGCAGCTGCGCCAGGGCGAGATTCGCCGCTGTCTTCTGCTGCGCGAGCCGCTTCATCCTTGGCTCGAGACAAGTTGACATGGCTGTGGGTCAAAAGCGGATGTTTGCAGCTATTTCTGGCTGGGACCGTCCAGCAACTAACCTTCATCTACCCGGGGTTTGAGCAAGTGGCTCATATGGGTGTGGGTCAAAAGTAGGGTAACCCCAAAATGGCACCATGGTAAATGAAAACAATGACTAAAACCTGCGGTCCAATTCCTGGTGGTTTAATTTTGACCCATACCCAGATGAACCGATATTTCGGAGGTCGGAGCTTTCGCTTCAAATACGTGTCATGAAAAGCATACTCATGTCAGCATATGGATCTCTTCTACGTGGGGGTTCTTTTCGTTCTTCAACGGAAGCCAAAGCGAAACCACTCAATTTGAAGCTGCTTCTCACGAGGATTGATCACTAGGATTTTCAGTACCCCAACCCCATTCCAATCTCCTTGGCCCCATTCTCCGCCGAAACGCTCCTCAGCCACGCGGGCGGATAGCTCGTTGTACTTCTTCTCCTCAGGTTCGGGGGTAACTTCCCCGGGTGGTTTATGGACCGAATATCTTCAACAGACCTTGACCTGTAACCACCCCTCTGCAACAAGTGACTAGTGTTTTGTGGAGTCCAGTCCGGAAGATCCCACAAAGTTCTAGCCAAAAGTTGTCCAGTCCAAAAATATGTTACCAATTAGACCTGGGAACCTGAACCACAAGTTCAAGAATCGGATGTGGAGCCAGTGGGAAAAATTGCCATAAAGCTTCGCACAAATGAACATGGAAGATGCCCACCAGGCACCCAGTCTTACGGCGAAAATGGTCGATGAACTTCACATTGACTGCACATACCGATGATGCTCTCCAGGAAGACGAGCACCATCTTATGTCATGTTACGCATATGCGTTCCTTGGGCATATGATGTGTATATATATATATATATATGTGTACACGTATATACAGGTGTCTTATGCATACACTGTATGCATGAGTATACACATGATATATACATATATATAATATACATATGCATGATATACAATGCAAAGCGCGTGTGTGGCATATATGTATTTATGTGTATGTATGTATATATATATATACATATATGTATATATATATATATACACTTACATTATATATATATATATATATGTATGTATACTGGCATCGACATCACCTCTATTTATCAGGACTACACAGGGATTAATAAGAGACACACACATGACTGAAACCCTTTCCCGTTCGTGCCTCGGCGTCATAGTTATCGGCCATGGTCTTCTCTTCTTCGGATGCCTGGCGTTCTCAGCGCAGGTGTCAAGGGTCTACCCCCTTGCAAACCACTCTGCGCGGCTGAGGTGTTTTTTTTGCATAGCCCTGGCATTAGCCTAACCCTGGCACAGCCTGGCATGCATGAAAGGAGACACTAACAGACAAAGGTTTGGGGTGGGTTTAGGGTAGGTTTAGTTTAGGGTAGGTTTAGGGTAGGTTAAGGCCCGGCATCGTTTTAACATCCTCAGAGTGTTTTCAACATCCTCAGCATCTGGGTTTAGGGTGGGTTCCAGGTTGGCTCAGGCTTGGCTCCAGATGGGCTCCAGGTCTATTGAGAGCAAATTTGGGGGTGGCTGTGCTTGAGGTGGATGGTTTGGTGCTGGTTTATGGTGGGGCTTCTTGGGGTTGGTCTCGGATGGGTTTGGGGCTGGTTTAGGGTAGGCAGCCAATTTTAAACCCACCCTAAACCAGCCCCAAACCCATCCGAGACCAACCCCAAGAAGCCCCACCATAAACCAGCACCAAACCATCCACCTCAAGCACAGCCACCCCCAAATTTGCTCTCAGTAGACCTGGAGCCCATCTGGAGCCAAGCCCGAGCCAACCTGGAACCCACCCTAAACCCAGATGCTGAGGATGTTGAAAACACGTTGAGGATGTTAAAACGATGCCGGGCCTTAACCTACCCTAAACCTACCCTAAACTAAACCTACCCTAAACCTACCCTAAACCTACCCTGAACCCATTCCAAACCTTCGTCCTACCGAGGCGCCAACCAACCAACCAACCAACCAACCAACCAACCAACCAACCAACCAACCAACCAACCAACCAACCAACCAACCAACCAACCAACCAACCAACCAACCACCTACCAGGGTTAGCCCTGTGCCAGGACTAGGCAAAAAAACACCCTTTCCCACTCTGCGCCCAAAAAGAAAAAACGCTTCGTAGTTGGGGGGTGGCGAGGCTTCTGGTTTCATCCCATCCCAATCCAAGGGCGTCCAACCATTTTGAGGCATTGCCTGACAATACGAAAACGCAAGCTGAGTTAGGCGATCGCATTGGAGCAAGGGGAGGACTCCAATTCGTGCATCGCTCGGTGAATCATACGAGGCTCGGCAAGTCAGCTTGACACACCATGCCGGAACGAGTTCAGACAGCTTGGATTCCGTGAAAGGATCAGGAGACAGTACTGGGTCTTGCTGGCTTCAGTACGTTTCTAGATACCCCCGGATATAGGCTTACACCCCCAGTTGACAGGAAATTCATGGTGGGGCTTCGGTGTATGTCTTCCAGCCCTAAACAAGAAACAACATGCACGACAACGACGTGTTGCTCAACCAGGGGATTGATCCGGCGGTAACACTATGTAACATCAGGGGGTGTATCCCAGGATAAACAGTGCTCTGCCTCACTTGGGCTCGGTGCTAGGCGTCAAGCAGCCTTTCAGGAGTGGTCCGATGACCGATCTGATGACCGATCCACGGGAACGCTTTGGCACACGTGCGGTTCACCGCGCAGCGCGCGGTGAACCACCGAACTAAAAAACGGATCCAAGCGATCGCATCTTTATCCACATATGTTCCCTTTCAGCACCAAACCCGGGAAATACAATGCGGTGTCCCCCACCCACCCCACCACCCACCCAGACCTTTCTGGCGGAAGCAACTGATCATTTTGTCCGACACAAAAACTGGAAGTTACGGAATCCCCCCAGGCGGGGTGCTCCAAGGGGCCCGGGTCCCGTTCCCTAAGGAACCCTAAGACACCCGAAACGGGCTCTCAACTACCCCGCGGTAGCTCACCTACCCCCCCGGAATAGGATTCCATTTCAAGCACCAAGTAACAAAACGAAGGAAGACTAGACAGAAACCCTCAAGCTTTGGTATTTTGATTTTTCTGGGGAACCCCCCCCCCCCAAAAAAAAGAAGACCCCCCCCCCCCCGGAAAGAAAACAACACAAAACAGGGAGAGACGCCGGATCAATCCCCGGTCCCTCCCAAGACCCAAAGGGCTCGATCCGCCTGGGTGAAGGCTGCGGCGGCCTGCAGACGGCACGTGAGGGGGGGAAGCGTCTGGGGGTCCGAGAGGGGGGGGGGCAGCGTCTGGCCCCAGGTAACACATGGGTTCCCAGGTTCCAAGAAGTGACCCGAAAAGGATGTGCGCCTCTTACCCAAAAGGAAAGCAAAAGGAGACAGAAGAAAGACAGCAAAGGCTACCCTTGGCCCTTAGGAAATTAAAAAGGAAACCAACAAGGCCCAATTTGGGGTCGCAGGGTTTCTACCCCTTTTGGAGTCAGTCTTGGTTCTGCTGCTCCATCAGAAACCCACGAAAATGACGAAATCCTCTCATAATCCCACCCAGTGACTTCTATAAAAGGCCTTGCCAGCCTAAGACAAAAAGGATAAAGGGATCCAAGGGTTTCCACTGAACAATGCAAGGATTAAATCATTTGCCAGTGGAAACATTCAAAAGGATTCGACGCGGTTCGGAGGTCGAAGAAGGGCCCTCATTGGACACCCTGAATCAGAATCAGAAAAGACTGTTCCACCCAAAACCCGTCAGGAAAACAAGGGTAGACATTCGACCCTTTGACAGTTTGGAGTAGCCTGGGCGTCTGGAAACCAGAATTGGTCCCCAGGCAAAGAGCCAATCCAAGTCTTTCGAACATCTTTCACCCACAAGAGAAATCAAAGCGCTTTTTCCTCGATGTTTCTCTTTGGGGTGGCTTGGAGGTAGTGGAACTGATCTTAAACTTTGGCCCACGTGTTTGTCCCCGAAATCCCTCAACAGTGCAAATCGGCATTACGATAGAGGGCACCTCCCCAAATGGGGTTCCCCCCCAAAAAAACAAAAAGAAGGAAAAACACATAGAAAACAAGTTGCGAACCTGTTCCAATTTCCCGCCAAACACTGGGCCTTAGCACCACCCTTCAAGTTGGATCCTTGCAGATCCAGCTTTCAAAATGCAAGCCTGCCAGTGTCATTGTGCTGTACGCGGGTATCGTCAAAACGGTTCTTCTCGCCATGAAATCGTCCACCGGGCAAAGCCCTTTTTCTCCCCCCCCCCCATACCCCCAACAAAAAGAAAAACGAAAGCTGTATTTTTCTCGTAACCTGACGTTTCGGGGTCCGGGTTTGGACCATGTTCCTTTGTTTCCCGGGACTGTAGAAAAAAGAAAGTCTATGGTACTGGACTTTTCGGTTGATTCTGATTGGAGAGTGTCTGAAGGTCCTCTAACCTTGGGTGCTGCCCATGGCCCTCCTTTTGGGTGGTGTCTCTATTGGGAAACCAAAAGGAAGCCAGCCATGTCGGAAAGGGACCGGGCCTCTATTTTGAGAGCTACGTGTTTTCCTCTGCCTTTCCTTTGCAACATCCCAAACAACTGCGACCGACTCCAAGAAGTGACACCAGCTGAAAACTCCAACACTTGGGGGCTGACGAACTTTCAGCAACGACGACTCTTTAGTTGCTAGGACCCAGAAATACAAGTTGAGATCACCTGTTGGGACCTTGAACGAACCAAAACGGGCTGGAAAAACCCACGAGTTCTCCGATCTCAGATCCACAACCCACACCTCGCAGCTCGGGCCAAACTCCCGCGGCCCGCCCCGGGCTCCCCGCGCCCGACCCAAAAGCGACAGCGACCGCCGCCTGGTCCTTGCTCTGCATCTTCTCCTGGGCCTTCGCCTGCACCTCTTGCAGCCTCGGCCAAAAAAAGCGAGTCTCGCCGGGGGAAAGCCAACCAGCCAACCAGCCATGGGACCAGCCCTAGTAACAAAAAAAACAGCCCCAGGGGGGGAAAAAATCGGATCCTTCCGACGCCAACAGCAACCACGCCAACAAAACTTGGTTGCTGGCGAACGGAAAACCGACACCTCCTGCAAAAAAAAAGGAAGACCACTTTTGGTGGGTTCAACGGAAAAAAAAAAAAAAAAAAAAAAAAAAAAAAAAAAAAAAAAAAAAAAAAAAAAAAAAAAAAAAAACTTGGTGTCAACCGAAAAGTTCAAGTCTAGAGATCCACCCAATAGCAACCAAGAACATGCCCGGCCGGATTCAATCGACTCCCTCCTCCTGTGAAAAAATGGTTGTCACCCCGAGCCCAATGGAAACTGGGCCAAAACGGTGATGCTTCACACCACCCAAGAAGAAATCGAGTGGCCCCTCTTTTTCTCAGTCGTGTCGTGCCGCGCGGATCGGAATTGTCCAAAGCTACCCTCTGCAAAAGCCAGGTTCAAATCCCAATTCCCAACCACCAACTGAGGGATGCCGGACCTTTCCTGGGTGATACAAGGAAAAACGATTACCGGCACCTGACAGAGGGTCCCTTCCCCCAGAATGGCTTCGTTTTGTTCCTTTTGGTCCTCCCTAAAAAGCCCGGCAAAAAGGCTGGTACCTCGGAAAAAAGGACGGGCAAAAAAGGAGCCACCACCTAAAAGCCAATGAACTGGCGTACATCTCGAGTCTCCTTTCAAGACCAAACCGTCGGGACCCGAACGGGGGGTGGGTGGCGGGTCCAGGGCGGCGGCGTCGGCACGGCGGAAACCCTCCGAGGCGTCGGCTGCCGGGCGCCCTCCTCGAGCTCCGCCTTCATCTTGTTCGCCTTCTCCAGCTCAGTGTCCGCCTGGCAGAAAGGACAAGGGGAGAGGAAAGGGGGGAGGACACGGGGAAAGCGGGGGAAAGGGGGGGGGGAAAAGAAAACGAGGGCGTTGGTGTTGGTGTTGGGATGTGTGATTTGGGGGGCGGGAAGGCGGGGTTGGTGTTGGTGTTGGCGGGGGTCTGTGATTTGTGATAGAAATGAAATCAAAAGCGCAGTTTACACCTTTTTTGCAAGCATTGGAGCTGTAAAACTACATCTGTCTGAGCACTCTATTGGTTCGCCGAAAACGGACGGCAGCTTACCGGATCTTAATGCTCCAAAGTGCAGGGTTCGGGGGTAGTTTTGAGGGTAGGATGGCACATGGGCACTAACCCGGAAGGGGGAAGGCCCGGCCTCCTTCTAATCGGTGGTTTGGAGCCGAATCGGTACTGGGGAGCCGAATCGGTGGTTTGGTGGTCAAGGGAAGGTTCCCATTAACCCTATACAAAAGCCAGGGGATCAAATCCCCAAAACGCTAATCCAAGCCACCTGTGAAACTGAGTCACAATCAAAACCTAGTATTAAAATGGTCTACCCAAATCTATGCAAGGAAACTGAAAGGCGGTTGCAATTATGTCTGGCTGGAATTATCCCTTACTAATCTTCACCCACCGAGTTTTGGTTGTCTTGCTGTTCTCAGCAAGGAATGAGGGAATGACCCCTATATACCATGCAACTGGTGCCTATTTTTGTCTCTGTGAGTATGATCGTGCATATCTATCTATAATTGTTAAATTGGAATGTGTTTTTTTCTATTATTATTATTATTTCCTGCTCTGATTCTGTTACTCTCCTGCCATGGGCTTCATCTCGCACGCTGCTGGAAAGCAGCGGGCCCCCGCTAGTATTATTATGTACCTTTAAGGGGACCCCCAGGTTCATTCCCTCATTCCCTACTGAGCACCAGCAACTCCGCAGCTTGTCTGAATACTCTTTGTTTCGCCGGGAAGAACCCAGGTTTGCCCCGAAAACCTTGCGCCTAGACCCCATGGTTTGCCGTGTTGTATTCAACCCGGCTGGCCCCACAAACACACACACAGACAGAAACACATTCCTGAGGCTGGTAGCTCAACTCCTCGCCTTTTCACCTGTTGTTTAGACCCCGCGAAATGGCGGGGTCCTTTGGTGCTCCTTTGGTGTCCCTTGAAAGCCAAAGTATCCTTTTGGTGTTCCTTTTGTTGTTCCTGGTGTCTCAACAAGGTATCCAAACAAGAGATGGAAAAAGTGTCAGAGACCTGGCAAACCCTGTTCTCTTTGAAAGCCCTAGGATCTGTCAACTGGCAGACGGGTCCCGAAAAAAGAGAAGACGGAGAACTCCTCCCACAAAGGCGGGAATTGTTGGCCCCGGCTTCATAAACCCCCTGTTCAGTAATATGGGGGCGTCTCCGGTTTTAGTGGGGGTTTGTCACTTTTGGAGGGGAACACCCCCATATTAATAAACTGGGGTTGATTCATCCGGGGTCAACATTAGTAGTGGGATGAAGGGTTTAGTGGGGATGATCAAACCAAGTTCAATCTGCCTCACTCATGTTGCGCACGCTCAGTGCGCACCACCTGAATGGAAGCCATCGCAATTCATTTGAGGTCAAGCCAACGCTCACGCAAGATAACCAACGAATATACCAGAAGGTAGTGCTAAACCTTCAAATGTACAAAAACCTGGTGCGAGAAATCCCACTCAAACCCGCACGCGTCTCCCGCACAAAGCAAAAACCCAAAAAAAGAAAACACCATTTGGGAAATAAGGGAATGACCAACCACTTCCCAACCACAGGTTTCAATCAAATTCCCAGCGAATAGTCGGGATGAGTGGATCGTTGCTGGTTTCGAGCCCGGTGGTTTGGTGGTTCGGGGTGGCTTCCGCTATACCCTGTCAGTTCAAATCCAAAGTTCCCAGCAATCCGAACCATCAACGGTTGCCTGAGAATAGTTGGGATTCCCGAAGAAAAGCAACTTGCTGGTTTCCTCAAAGCATTTCTGCTCACCTTAAAGAAAATCCTGGGTTCATTCCCCACATCAAAACGATTCCCGATCGAACCAGCAATACAAAACCAAGGCCTGGATCAACCACCTCAAAAAGCATGTTCAATATATGCATATACATATACTTATACATATACATATACATACACATACATACATATATACATATATATATATACATGTACATGTACATGTACATGTACATGTACATGTACATATACATATACATGTACATATACATACATATACATATATATATATGTACATGTACATGTACATGTACATATACATATACATGTACATATACATACACATACATACATACATACATACATACATACATACATACATACATACATACATTACATTACATTACATTACATTACATTACATTACATTACACTACAGTACATTACATACATACATACATTGCATAATTGCATACATACATACATACATTACATACATACATACATACATACATACATACATACATACATACATACATACATACATACATACATACACATACATACATACATACATACATACATACATACATACATACATACATACATACATACATACATACATACATACATACATACATACATACATACATACATATACATACATACATACATACATACATTACATACATACATACATACATACATACATACATACATACATACATACATACATACATACATACATACATACATACACATACATTACATACATACATACATACATACATACATACATACATACATACATACATACATACATACATACATACATACATACATACATACATACATACATACATACATACATACATACATACATACATACATACATACATACATACATACATACATACATACATACATACATACATACATACATACATACATACATACATACATACATACATACATACATACATACATACATACATACATACATACATACATACATACATACATACATACATACATACATACATACATACATACATACATACATACATACATACATACATACATACATACATACATACATACATACATACATACATACATACATACATTACATACATACATACATTACATACATTACATACATACATACATACATTACATACATACATTACATACATACATACATACATACATACATACATACATACATACATACATACATACATACATACATACATACATACATACATACATACATACATACATACATACATACATACATACATACATACATACATACATACATACATACATACATACATACATACATACATACATACATACATACATACATACATACATACATACATACATACATACATACATACATACATACATACATACATACATACATACATACATACATACATTACATACATACATACATACATACATACATACATACATACATACATACATACATACATACATACATACATACATACATACATACATACATACATACATTACATACATACATACATACATACATACATACATTACATTACATACATTACATTACATTACATACATTACATTACATTACATACATTACATTACATTACATTACATTACATTACATTACATTACATTACATTACATTACATTACATTACATTACATTACATTACATTACATTACATTACATTACATTACATTACATTACATTACATTACATTACATACATACATACATACATACATACATACATACATACATACATACATACATACATACATACATACATACATACATACATACATACATACATACATACATACATACATACATACATACATACATACATACATACATACATACATACATACATACATACATACATACATACATACATACATACATACATACATACATACATACATACATACATACATACATACATACATACATACATACATACATACATATACATACATACATACATACATACATACATACATACATACATACATACATACATACATACATTACATACATACATACATACATACATACATACATACATACATACATACATACATACATACATACATACATACATACATACATACATACATACATACATTACATACATACATACATACATACATACATACATTACATACATACATACATACATACATACATACATACATACATACATACATACATACATACATACATACATACATACATACATACATACATACATACATACATACATACATACATACATACATACATACATTACATTACATACATACATACATTACATACATTACATACATACATACATACATACATACATACATACATACATACATACATACATACATACATACATACATACATACATACATACATACATACATACATACATACATACATACATACATACATACATACATACATACATACATACATACATACATACATACATACATACATACATACATACATACATACATACATACATACATACATACATACATACATACATACATACATACATACATACATACATACATACATACATACATACATACATACATACATACATACATACATACATACATACATACATACATACATACATACATACATACATACATACATACATACATACATACATACATACATACATACATACATTACATACATACATTACATTACATACATACATACATACATTACATACATACATACATACATACATACATACATACATACATACATACATACATACATACATACATACATACATACATACATACATACATACATACATACATACATACATACATACATACATACATACATACATACATACATACATACATACATACATACATACATACATACATACATACATACATACATACATACATACATACATTACATACATACATACATTACATACATACATACATACATACATACATACATACATACATACATACATACATACATACATACATACATACATACATACATACATATACATACATACATTACATACATACATACATACATA